CACCATGTATATAAATGTTGAATTTTTTATAAAAAAAGAGCAACTTTTACCCAAAATCAGGCAAAGCAGGCAGGCAGATTGAGTTGCTCACAGAATCATTGAGTGATCTATCTATCAGCCATCCGCTAGTTCAGTCTCTCAAATTTGCTTGCCGTGAGTCTGCACTGAATAATAGAACCTTCAGCTCTAAGGGAGGTTCGGCTGTGCTTAAAAGTAGAGCTGAAGATCTAAAGACTTGCTAGAAAGCAAGAAATCCAACCATTTCCTGCTTCCTAGCTAATCTAAATCTCCTGGCACAGCAGAATGATGGTTGTAAAAAGGAAAAATAGCAATTTAGCAGGCAAGTTTGCCGGGTAAGGAGTGAGTGGGCAGGGAGGGTTCCCGCAGGCCATATGAGCGGTGCAGCCTTGTGTTTCTGCGCAGCCTGGATTAATTGCTTTGGGGGGGTGCTCTGGGGGTGAGATTTCTCTGCGGCCCACCCAAATTTTCTCACGGCCCAACAGTAGGTCGTGGCCCGCTAGTTGGTGACCACTGTGCTAAAGGATGCCAATAGACAGACAATACTCTATTGGAAGAGGTCAATCTACATTCCAATGCCAAAAAAGAAGACTGAATACAATATGCAAATTATTGCATAATATGCTTAATTTCACATGCTAATAAAATAATTGTTAGGATCATCCAATATAGATTAGAGCCCTACATGGAAAAGAGATACCAGATGTTCAACCTCTAATTTCTGTCATAAGAATATATGGGGATGAAAAACAAATGGAAAATACATTTTGTCACACTACTATATTAAATTGTAGCAACTAAAAGAACTGATTATTAGATTATTATTCTCTGAATATTACATCCCAAATTATATTACCCAACTATCAAGTTCTATAAAGAGCTGTACCTGTCTAGGTATAAAACTGGAGGGAATTCTAATTTGTTGTGTATCTTTTCTGGCCTTCCCAAAGCTTGATTGAATTCAAATCTTGAGAGCTCAAAGGTCAAGACTGGAGGTAACTCAGTGAACCAGTGCTGAAAGAAAACAGAAGAAAAAATGTATTTTAATCAGATCAAATTTTTTAAAAATTAATTCTCAACTTAGAACATATTTCTGTGTTCTAAGAAAAACATATTTTGCAGCATAGATTGATACAATTGAATCTTACCCAACTTGTTGCCCTTAGATGTGCTGGGTTATAACTGTCATCTTCAAACAATATATTCAAGCTATCCATGGTACTGGCAGATTTTTTAAGTGGGGGAAATGATTTATATGCTTCGAATAATGCTTCTACTGTTAATAAGATACAGATCTTAATAAAAGTGGCAGTCAATTAAATACATGTCTGAACAATGCTTCAGGAAATTCATACAAAATACAAAGTATGTTGAAACTACAATTATATTAAAGATTAGCACACATTATTTACCTTCCACAATTTTTTGAAACCAAAACCTGTTTTTTGGTTTCCACCTACTAAACTTTCATGTTAAATATTATCACAATGACTATACAAATATATGGTGGTATCAGTACCTACATTAATATTATTTATCAAATTGGTTTTATTAAAAAAAACTGTACCTTGTCCAAGGTAATAATTGGTATTTCTACAGCAATCTATTTTTATATCATGATCAACAAATATGTTTATTTATTCATTCCCTATTGATAGCTCTGTGAATTGATACTATGCAATCTGACTTGTGTTTAAAGTTAAAAATTGATTAAAGTGCTACAATAACACGTTAAAATTGGAAATGGCACTCCATACTTTTTTCTTTTTTTTAGACATATATTTAATCTAATTTACTGACCTTGGAACATTATATCAAAATGTGTCAGATGCATACAAATTTCAATTTTGCAGTGTCTGTTTTTTCTAGATAATGAACAGATCTGTTCTCTTTATTCCAACTCACTAGGCTGAATTTTGAATGGAGTAATTGCACTGAGAAACTCTTTAGTAAAGGTGTTGTCCTAGAACCTTAGAGAAGACCAGGACAAAAAAAAAAAAATGGGAAAAATGTTAACTACAAAGAAAGCCCAATAGTTGTGGAGATATTTTTAGACACATTTCAGAAACTAACTCCTACTCAAAAAGTAACTTGCTAATAAACTTATGCACATATTTCCTTTAAGTAGCTAAGGCATAATAGAAGGTAGCCCCTAAAATAAGCTTAACTTGTGATTAAAAAGTGAACATTTCCACTCATTCTAGTTGAAAGATCCAAAACATTTGTCTGTGACATGACAGATAGGAGACATTTCCATATCTGTTCAGACATGAATTTTTTCCTCAAGGTATGACTGCCGATTTGTTAAGACAAAAATCTATGTTTTAAGGTTCTAACATTATGTTCCATATATTACAAAAGTGCACATAATGGTTATTCGCAAAATATGAATCTATCATCTACCAAACAAAAATATTTAACAAACTTTTAATACCAACCATACACACCTGAATTTATTTTTCATACAAATGTTAAATATTACATTAAAGAGTGGGGAGTCTTCTTAATCCAATATTATTCATTTTATTAATGCATTCCTACCTGAACAACTTGGATTTTTTTATGCTGGTTCTAGTAACAACCCTGTCCTGAAGATGACACTTTAAGACACTCTACATAAACAGTGAAGAACAAGAAAAAATTCTGACTTATTGGATACATTTAAAACTTCAAAATTTGGATACATTTAAAACTTCAAAACTTTCAAAATTCTCAATGATATGATAAATTACAAGAATTCCTAGAATATCAGTATCTATACATATTATCCTCAGCTCTCAAATCAGGTGTCCTTTTTTACTATCCTTGGTCTACAGAACTAAAAATAAAATATGGCACCTCACTAATTTCTTTTTAAATAAACCACGTGGTGATTGTTGAACATAATTTTAATATTTCTGCATACATGCTCTGTTTTCCACATAATTTCTAAAATTAGATAAAGAGAACCCAAATAAATGTGTAAAATATATATTTAGAAAAATCATCCTAAGGATATACATGTGTATATATTTTTCTCAATAAATAAATGAACAATGTTTTAGTTGAATAACAAATCACAGGGCATAAATATGAGGAACTATTAAAAATTCAAAAGGGTTGCCAAAATGTTAAGCACCACTGTAAATATATAGGTCAATTTGAAGGACACTGAAATTTATTCTAAACAAGATTTTGACAAATTTATTCACATTAATATACTGAATTTCTAATACATTAATGTATTGAAGGTTGCCTTGCTTCTTTAATATAGTGAATATACAACACCTACACAGCTCTGTTAAAATGCTAGGTTTTGAAATGTAAAAAATAAGACCAAGATAAATAACCTCAGATTTTTTTTCCACCTTTAATATAACATATAAGATGCATAATTCAAACAAACCATAATCTTTTTGAGTGGAAATAATAATAAAAAACTTACAATAATGTAGATAATATATACACCCTCTTACAAATAGGAAAGTGGATTCTTTCAGAGTTAACCAACTGAAGGGGAAATGACCAAGTTGAGGCCAAGGGAAGTGCCAAGCACATCATCGGTCTCAAATTCCTTTGCTGTCAGAGGTCAGGTCAGTGACTGTGATCAAGTCCATTTAAAGTTCAGGTGCTCTAGTAGGATTTCTCTAATATTTACTGAGTTGCCTTTTACAGCAAAAGCAATGTTCTGCAAAGAGCTTGCAAAACATCAAAGGAATCTCATTGTTGGAAGATATTAATCAAGAGAAGGATACAAAACAACTTCCCAGGCATTGGATACACCATAGAACCCACTGAAGACAGTCATCGACAAGTAGAAAAAATATGGCACAACAGTGACATTACCAAGAACTGGATGTTCCTTCAAAACTGATGAAAAAAATAAGAATATTGGTCTAGGAGGCTGTCAAGAGGCCTTCAGCAATATTACAGGAGCTGTGGCAATTCTGGGTTATTGTACATGTGACAACAATCTTCTATATTCTTCATATGAAGTAGAATGGCACGATGGGAGCCTTTTTTATAAAGAAAAACATCCAAGCCTGGCTAGATTTTGCAAAAACCTACATCACGTCTCACAAAAGAACGTGGGAAAATGCATTATGGTCTGATGAGACCAAGGTGGATTAATTCCAAAAACTATGTTTGTTGCAAAAGCAACAGTGCACGTCACCAAAAGCACATCATATCCACAGTGAAGCATTATGGTGGCAGCATTCTGTTTTGGGGCTAATGTTTTTCATCCAGAACTGGAGTTTTAGTCAAGGTGGAGGAAATTTTGAACAGTTGTAAATATTATTTTGGCACAAAACTTTCAGGCTTCTGCTAAAATGCTGAAGATGAAAAGGAATTTCCTCTTTCAACATGACAATGACCCAAAACATGCTTCCAAATCAACTAAAGAATGGCTCCACCTGATGATGATGATTAAAGTTTTGAAATGGCCCAGCCAGAACCCAGGCATGAATCTGTGGGGTGACCTGAAAAGGGCTGATCATAGGAGATCCTCTTGCAATCTGACAAATTTGGAGTACTTTTGCAACGGACTGTGGGCAAATATTCCCAAGGCAAGATGTACCATGCAGATAGACTCTTACCAAAAGACTGAATGCTGTTAGAAAATCAAAAGGTCATTCAACAAAGTACCGTATTTGCCGGCGTATAAGACGACCCGGCGTATAAGACGACCCCCCACCACCACCGGAAACGCCCTCCAGAAATCCCCGGGGCTGCAGCGGCAGGGCGGAGTGCCAGGGGCCGTGGGAAGAGCAGGAAGGCTGCAGCCTCGGGCGGAGCGAGGCGAGCGGGATGAAGCGGAAGCGACGCAGGGGATCCGGGAAGCCAGAGGCGCCTTCGCTGCGTCCAACAAGCATCCGAAAGCCGGCAGTGGATATACCGGCGTATAAGACGACCCCCCCACTTGGAGGCATGTTTTTCGGGGCAAAAAAGTCGTCTTATACGCCGGCAAATACGGTATTATTTAAGAGTGTGCACGCTTATGTAACCATGCTATTGTATTTTTTATAGTTTTTTACCTTAAAAGTTTCACTTCATTTTTCAATTGAATTATACAGCTTATATGTTAAAGGTGGAAAAAAATTCTAAAGTGATCTATCTTGGTCTTATTTTTTTATATCTCAAAAAGCTGGCCTTTTAACATATATCCGTTAAATCTATATCCACTCTATCTTTTTGAGTGAACATTGTGTAGTGGCCCAGTAACACTTAATAATGAATCTGAAAGACAGAATACTCATAATAAGAGGGTTTACTTTTTATCAATTATCCTGCTGATTTTTTTAAAGAAGCTCTAGAAAGACTAAGGAGCAGAGAATTGTTACAAGCTTAACACAATCTCTTAGCATTTTGTTCCCCAAAATATTATTTTGCCCACTTCATGATTACTCAAAGAAACACTATGCATAAATATTTCAAGCAAAAATATTTCATTTTTCATTAAATAAATTACAAAAAATATTTTAGAAACCCTAACAACTATAAGTCTCTCTTTTTTGCTGCAGTGAAGAACAAACATGGAACAATGATGGGAAGTATTCAGATATAGATCAAATGAAGCCATACCACATTTAAGTTTTAGATATGCTGTGTAAAAGGAATTAGGTTTAAAGGATGCTAGAACCTGAACAAGGCCAACCCTGAACTAGATAAGGTAGCTTGAAGCCATGGCTTGAACTAAATATTGCTTAAATGATAAGGAAAACTTTCTCTGAAGAGCTGTGGGCTGAATAGAACATTATTATATAAAGTTTCACTAGGCTTTTCTCTGAAGTCAGCTGTGACTTATATACAACTAACATTCATGGTATGGTTTAATAGATCACAAAGATATTACACACTCTGAGAAACTACTTCAAATTTTTATATAACTATTTTGAGACAAAATATATAGACAGTTATGTAATAGTGCAGCAATCGGATATGGAAAAACAAGATTTACTTTAACAGAACACTGATACATAAATGAATTTTAACATGTAAATTTATACTATTATATCTTGCTTTATGAATGTATTATTTCTACTTCTGACATGGAAGTAAAATATGTAAATAATATGAATTATTTCTGCTTTATTTTCTATTTTTTAATCTTAATATATGCCATAACAAAACAGATCATTCTTAAAAAGAGTTTGAAATTCTGTATGAACATAAGAATGAAGTGGTTTGGGGAACCAAGAATAGAACATATTGAATAGACTAACTTAAGCCACTCCATTTCTTTCACAACCTGTGGATCAACACTTGGTTGAATTGAAAAAAGCAGATCCTCCACATGATCACATTCTAGGAGGAAGAAAGAAGGGAAATTGGGAGTGACATAAGAAGGAGAATGATCAGAAAAATTTGGAGTTTTTTATATGTCAGGGACCAAGCTACCAAATTACTTATAAGATTAGGCTTTTAGTTTTTGTCCCCCAAATCTCAGATCAATCTATTCTTTAATTTTTCTTAGCCGGTAACATATTTTTTTCTTTAGCAATGTTTTACCTTTCTTAACTTTTCTCTGCACTTTTCTCTAAATTTGAAAGCCATCTAGGAATTTGCAACTACTACAGAATCAAAATATTTTCTTTTATACTTAAATCTTTATAATTTTTAAGTATGCATATGTAAGTGCAAGTTGGATGTAGTGGTTAAAGACATCAAGTTAGATACCAGGAATAAAGTAGCTGGGTAACTGGCCCAGTAAACATTTCCCTACATAACCGTCACGTTGGAATGCAAAAAATAAAGTTTTTAGCACTTTAAACATTGTATCATATAAATTAATCTACCACTGATTATGCTTTGACTAGTTTATCATTTATTTTAATTTAATCATTAAAATCATACAACTGTTTCACCTGACTTAATCTTTTGATTTTATATTATAAACTGTATGAATAGTTTTATATCATGATTTCAGTGGTTTTCTCTGATGTCAGCAGTATGCTTGTGGTTCAAATACTGTTTTTACTGCTTTTTTGGTGAAATTTTGATTCAGTGATCCCTTATCAGGTTGCTGGTAAACAACTGAGGATAAAGTAGATAAAAGAACCCTGCTTCCACATTTCAGATATAGACTTATATTCTTAAAACAGAAATTTAAGAATTGGTTGAAATCCAAATAAACATAAAGTGCATTAAGCTCTTCTTTGTTTGGGTAAATAAATGATTTACCAAAATATTTGGAGATATCTATATTTTAAACAGGTTTGTATAATGGAAAGGGTTATCAGTATTGCCAAATGTATAATATCACTTACCTCCTGACCAGATTTTCCGGAATCTTCTGAGTGTAAAGATTCAATTTCTCCCTCAACCATGGCAGCCTCTAGGCACTCATGAAGATCTCTGAAACCATTAACTTGAAGTGGATACTGGCCAAACATCTCTGTATTTTCAAATTTCTTTCCTTATCAGAAGAGGGAGGTATAAGATTTCAACAGGAAATATACATAGTCAACAGTACTACCTTTTAACAAAACTGTTTAAACATGATCTAACTGGTCTATCAAATATGCTTTCAAATGTCTGCTACAAGTGAACCACTGTACATATCTGTGAAAGCTGTAATTAAATACTAGGTTCCATCCTCCCTTTCTAAATAAATAAATAAATAAACAAACAAGATCTCAGAACCATGATAAGAAAATACAGGCTGGGAAAATATGTTTCTTCCCAGTATATAATCAAAGTTAAGTGGGACATTTTCTTTGGGTGGAATAGGGGATGGAGGTGTCCTTGTTATTCTAGGGCTTTTATTCTATTCTAGGGCTTTATTATTAAAGAAGTATTTAGTACTACATTTGGTATTAAAATATTAGTAGAGAAATTGAACTACAAATATACTCAAGGATAATACCTTCAAGAAATCCAGCTGCTAAAAATCGGCCATAAAACAGTTCTACCATTGGGTTCTTAGGCTTCTCTCCATTCCTAAAAACACAATTATCTTTTTTAAAACTAAGTACAAATTATTCCATATATTTTAATCAAATAGTTGCACAGAAATATTTGCATTCAATGAAACTCCCTCCATTATATTATATTCAGAACTTATAGTAGTCAATTATAATTATTTGAGGTTAATTCACCATCTCATCACCATGAAATTGGTATCCAAATTTTCAGCCAGAATCCATAAAGTGATTTTCAACTATATTCAAATATTAATTTCTTTAAAATATGTCAAATCAAATAGGACAAATTATTTTCATACATACAGAAAATATTTATGATAAATCTGATAAAATGAAGCAAACTGCTCCTAAACTTACCTTGAAATAGCTGCATTATGAATAATTTCATACTGTATTATTCTAGAAGAGGAGAGCAATCCAGATAATCTATGACAAGAACATGCAGTTACATCTGCCTGCTTCACTCTTCTACCAGTTTATCTTACATGAACTGCATGGATAACATTTTTCATCTAAGCTACCCTTATTCAAAAATATTGTGTTGTGTTGCATTGATTTCAGAATCATAAGGATTACAAGAATTGGACTACATAAGATTTCTGATGCTAAATACAACACGGCAAAATACACTCAATTATACATTAATCTTTAATATTACAAGAGTTACTTACTGTTCCTCTTCAGCCTGGATTTGAAAGGCATCTTCTAACCAATCCAGCAACTTATGTGTGAATTCACTCACATCTTGCTGTTGGGAAGTAATAAACAAACACATAAAGAGAGGAATATGGGAAAAATCACTGGAAAGTATGTGCAAGACTTGGAAGTACAAAAAGCACTATAATAAACAAACATGAAAAACTATCAGGACTTTGTCAATGAAGCAATAACAAGAGTTTGACATTGCAGGTCACTGGCATGTTCCTAACATATTTTCTAGCCTGAAATTGAATTTTAAAGTATAAATAAAAATATAGAAGTGGTGATGAAGTGAGAACCATTTACCAAAATAGCTCAGCATATATTTGTAGCAAGCATAGTTTTTCAAGAAAAATTACAATTAATGAGGCACTAAGTGGCCAATTCATTAAAGTAGATTATGTTTTACTAAACCAACAGGACCTGAAAGATGAAGCAAATCTCTAGAAGGAAGAAAATCAGGTTGACAAACAAGCACAATGGACAAGACCAACAATCAGAAACAAGGCAACAAAATATTCTGTACCTCATGGAAGAAGGCAGCTTTTAAGACGACAAAATACAGGAGGTAGAGGGGGAGAGAATAGAATTTGCAAAACAGGAAAGGTAACTGTGCCCTGAATGAATACTTAGGGTAACTGGTGTCTCATTGGTCTGAGGATCAGATTACGTGTAGGCCCATCAACTTGTGAAGAGACCTCTTCAAAAGCAAACCGGGAAGTTACAGAATTATTAAAAACTGCAAATACATTTGGGTAAAAATGATATTGTATAATGGTCTGTGAGAATGTCCTTCTTGATAGAATTTACTAACCCAATTAAGAAGAGGAGATGCTGCAGACTAGACATTGGGCAGATTATCCACAGAAGGAATGGTACTGTTAATGTGAGCCCATCAAGGCAATTGGAACAAGAAACATCAAACTTGGATGTTTCTTTTTTGTAAGGGTGCAAGTAATTGCAAGTCTGAAGGTATATATTTCCTCTTTCTCACTTTTATAGTCCAAGAAAGTAGAAAGGGTCCCTTCTAAGATATTTGCCACACCTCATTCCTTCTGCAAGCTAAGTTGCTTCTTATCTGATTGTTACCTACATTCCTATAGATGATTACATGCCGTAAAAAGTAGCCATTCTCACATCATAGTAACTTGAAATATCTAGGAAGTAAAATCCTGAAGCTTCATCTATAATTCTCCTACATATCTTAGATCCATAAAAAGGACAAAAAATGGAAAGATGAATATAACTTCTACTTTCAGAAAGGATGTGAAAATGAGACACATGGTCTGTTATCTAAAGAAATCCATGGGAAGAATTGATATAAATTGGATTTTGCCTCATAAGGATTGATAAATGATCTTTTTCAGAAAGATGGAAATCTAACTTGTATCTTGTTATTGCACTGGAGATCATCCCATGCAATAAAGCCAAGATTTATACCCTATCCAACATTATTCCATTAGGACAAACTTACTTAAATCAGGAAAAATATTGGGCTACAAAATTCGTAGCTTTTGTTGTGTCTATATACTATTTGGCCAGTGTCTGGGAAATGAACCAGACAGACATGAACATACAGAAAGGCAGTATGATTTAACATAAAAACATAAAACATAACGTAAAAATGGTGGGAAGACTCCCATAGTGAAGAATCAGTGAAGAACACAATTTGTTAAAAGAACAGAAACAGGAAAAAGGAATTGTCTATATCCACTACCACCACTCCAAACCCCTCAGAAAACTCTATTTTTGGATTTACATCTGGATATTTTAAAAAATGGAAGAATACATAAAGTGAAAATCTTGATGGAATTTACTAACCCAATGAAGAAAATCTGTAGTCTTCCCTAAGCAAACAAAAAACAACCCCATGAAATAAGAGTGATAGGAGACTTATTTGATATGTATTGTTGTTTGAGAAAAAACAAATTATCTCACAGGGATGTAGTTGGCAAGTGTAGTTGGCAAGAAGTATCCTGGAATGTAGGCTGAACTTCCTAAAAGGTATTACAAACTCAAACAATTCCAAAGAGGAGGAAAGAGAAAGAGGAGCACAATAACAGAATTAAATGTGATTGAGCAAAATATTAAGGGAAGATATAAAACAAGACAGGAAACATTTAGAAATCAGGAGGGAGAATAAAGTAACTTATCAAAGAAGAATACACAGCTCAGAATTTTCCAGCAGTTCTGGAAAACCTAGAGTATGAAAAAACTGATGCTTCTAAAGAATGTTAAGCTAAAGTTCAAAAACAATATTACAAACAACTAATAGTACCTTTTCAGATAGAGTTAAAATAAGGAGAGCTTATATACACCTGCGACCCAGAATACTGAAAGTATTTTGATATGGTTCAAATTTTGTCATCTTTGAGAAATTTGGGGGAACAGCAAGGTGTCTAATTACTGGAAACCATTTTTTTCTATGCTCAAGGAAAGATACTGACTCCTAAGAGACTCAAGAGCTATGACAGTAATATATATTGGTTTCAGCAAAATATATAATAAAGTACTACAAAATATTCTGATTACAAAGCTTTTAAAATCATAGCTGATTGGCATGACAATAAAACTGGCTTGAATTACACTCAGAAAATGCCTATCAATAATTCCTTATCAAATATGAAACATGTAGCAATTTGGGTACCATAACATTCTGTCCTAGATGAACATTTTTCATACTCATGGACATTAATTAGTATATTAATAAACTATTAATAACTTGGAAATATGATAGAAGGAAAATTTAGAAAAACTGCAGATTTGACTAATGTTATATTATAGATAATACCCTGCGAAGTAGAATAAAAGTCAAAATATTGAAACTACTCAATATTTGAGGCAGATAATTTCCCATTTATTGAATGGTTTTGTGGATATTTTTATCTGAACCTAGATTCTTATACAGAATAGAATGGTAGCCTATGTACCCTTCCACCTCTGTGGTTTTATCTAAAAAAAAGAAAAGAAAAAAAATGATTCCACAAAAAATAATAATGAACAATTCAGAAATCTACTAATATCTGGACAAATCAACAAAGCTGGATCCTTTATTAGTTGCAACTGACTGATATTTTTTTTAACAAAATAGCCAGTCTGAAAATTTCATCAGGTAAAGTACTTCTGGTAATGTTTTATTTGTGTCATTTCTCCAACTCTATTTTGATAACTATTTTTTTAAAGGTAGAAAGTTCTTAAATTACCTGCTGAGAATCATTTGATTTAAATGCATCTTTAAGAATTTCAACAGCTCTTGATGGATCAACATATTTTCTTTTCGAGCCAACAAGAAGTGCAAAGAGGTATCTTAATTCACGCATAAAAGGTAAATTTCTATGTTCCTGTATTTGAAATAATTATAAATAATGAATTTTATGTTTTTATGAATCTTAAGAAGTGCAACAATAAATCAATTACTCCATCCTCTTAATAAAGGCTAAATATGTTCTCATCACAATATTAACAAACTCCAATACTCCAGTTTATTTTAGAGTAAACCATTATTTTTCTTCCCCTCAGCCCGCCCCCATCAACAGGTTTGATAAGTTGATGGATCAGCAATTGTATAAACTATTATTGATTTACAAGTTTTATTTACTCCCTACTCCAGATCATTTGCAAAAGCTAACAGCCAGCAATAGTCTATAAAGAAAATAAAAGCCAGCAACATCCCGAATTAATACATTTCACATCACAGATCTATTCAAAGTTGTACTCCCTTGCTTTGCAATAAAACTTTGTGTTTCCATTAATTATACCTGGACTATCATTTTAATAGCTTGCTAGTTATACATCTATTATGATCTTAGTTTTTATCAGTAATTTCATATTAAACAATAATTTCATATTAAAAATCTCTGAAAAAAATGGAAACAAATTATTTCTCTCATTCATGTTAACTCAAAATAGACACTCAGCCAGATGCAGCTCATCAGCACTAGAAGGATGAAGATGGTGAAGGTCAAATGGATATGGCAAGGGCTGGAAGCTGACAGAGATAGGTGGAAGTGGAGTGAAAAACAGTCATAAAAATACAGATGAGGCAGAGATATGCAGATCAGGGAAGTTGAAATGGAGGCAAGTGGGCAAGTCAGGAGAAGAAAGAGGTCTTCGCTTAATGACTGCAACTGGGACTACTGGAACTAAGTGGTGCAGACACGAGATGTTTCTCCTAACAACTATTTCACTTAGTGACAGATATTCTGGTCCCAAATACAGTTATGTCATTAACCTTTAAAGTGCTGTAAAATTATTCTGTAAACTTCTAAGTTAGTATATTATCACAACTTCTTTGAAATATTCATGTATATACATATATGCCTACACACATACCTAAATATAATTGAAATATAAGACATAAGACATAAGAATTTATTTGTCATTACACTCGCAAGCGGGTGCAACGAAATGAGGTGCTCTTCCACAAAGTAAAACTGGACAAACACCACTAAAAAGAAAAAAAAAATTAAACTAAACACAACCAACCATACAATAATCTCTATGCAATTTAAAAATGTAAATACCCCATTACTCTCAGCCATTAAATTCCACAAAAATCTTATGACCCTGCATTCAAACTCAAAATTGCACTTGGATAAAAACTGTTCTTAAATCTGGTCGTCCTTGTTCTTAATACCCTAAATCTCCTTCTCGATGGTAATAGTTCAAAGAGCTGATGTCCCGGATGAGAGGAGTCATTCAATATATTAAGTATCTTCCTCTTACATCTATTCCTATACAGTTCTTCCAAAGAGGGGAGTGAGCAGCCAATGATGTTTTGGGCCGTCTTGATCACCCTCTGAATTGCCTTTTTCTCTGCCACTGTGCAGCTCGAGAACCATACACAGAGACAGTAGGATAATATACTCTCAATTGAACTCCGATAGAAGGTAGTCAGTAGACTCTCAGCCAGTTGTTGTTTCCTAAGAATCCTTAGTAAATACAACCGTTGTTGTGCCTTCTTAATTAAAGCAGCGGTGTTTGCACTCCAGGTCAGGTCATTTGTAATGATGGTCCCGAGAAACTTACATTCAACCACCTGTTCCACACGAACTCCCTCTATATACAGTGGCTGAATGTCTACTCTTTTTTTCCTATAGTCCACTATAACCTCCTTGGTCTTCTTAATATTAAATAGAAGATTATTATTTTTGCACCAGCGGGATATAATCACTAAACTACTTTTCTTATCAATACTACACAATAAATCTACCAATAAATAGCAACTGCCTCCTCCCACAATGTGTTTGTTCGTTTATTGTTTACATTTGTGTCTCAAAGAGGGACTTCTGGGCAGTGTACAATAAAAGACAGTCTATATAGTTATACCTTTTGGTTTCGAGGGAGATCTTGAGCACTTGCAGGTAGATTGTAATTCAAGACTAGCCTTCGAAATTCCAACAGGTTAAATAATGACTGAAACAAAAAGGAAATATAAATTAGCATTACTTCTTACAAAGTGTATCAGATATACTGTAATTCACAAAAGAACTAAGAAGCAAAGAACTGGTTCACAGGTTGTAACCCATATGATATTTTTATGTAAAAAAATGAAAAATTTAAACTAAGAATGAATATGACTAGCAATTCACTAATTGGTATATTGTGACTTGGAAGCAAACTCCATTTTGGGGGGCATTGGGAGACATACTTACAAATAGATAACAATTCAGTATTTTTATAGGAGCAAGATCTAATAAATTCAACTCTGATCATGTAAAAATGCACTAGAATGAGTGACAAAGTTATTAAAAATCACTTTAAATATAGAAATAGCTGTTATTGATTCTACTGTTCTAATGTAATGCTCACTGTGGCTTCCAACATCTTATGCACTAACTGGGGCTTACATGAAAGTTACAGTTTGTATTTCAGAAAAAAGCAACAAGAAAACATAAATTATCCATAGTTCTGCCCTTCTTGCTTTCTTTGGTAAGAAAAGAAATAAATGAATGGATTCAGGAGGACAATGCACACAAAATCTATTATGCTAACTTATACCTCTACCTATACATACAGAACCTTACATATCTATGCATACAGAATCCAAATAAACAGATATCCATATACATGAAAATAATTCATGTAATTATTTTATTCGTATTGCATCAAATAAGCATTTGTCTGTTAAAAGATCCTGGACGTAACAAATTAGGAATCTATTTTTATCACTATAATATTTTCAATAAGACTGAATATAGATTTGATTACTGAAAAAGATCTGTTCTCTGGATACTTAACAAATTAAAACCAAAGTGGCATAGAAAGTATTGAAAAAGGACATATGACAATAACAGATCATCAGAGTTGGAAGGGACCTTGTAGGTCATCTAGTCCAACCCTCCACCCAAGCGGGAGATCCTACACCATTTATGACAAATGGCAGTCCAATTTCTTCTTGATGTATGATATATGCATATTAGCACTTTTAACTGCCAATCAGTGTATATCAAAAACTTGTTCTAGTACTTTTAAAAATATTATTTACAATATTTTCCTACATTAAATGTAAAAAAAGGAGTGAAAACAGGGGAAAAGTCAAGAAGTGGTGACTGAAGTCAAATGTTATCTATTATCAAAAAAGTGGAATCATTGTTGATTGCATAATTATGAAGGATAAAAATCTAGTTAGAGTGTACAAAGAGAATTTAAAACAAATTTTAATAGAATCTTTGAAAAACATCTTAAGGAGGTATTTAAACAAGTACTGGTTACATATAAATCATATAGCAAAATTAGATCTAGATACCTAAGTTGTAAGCTTTATTTACCTATAAAATATACACAGAATCATATGGAATTAAGACATCTATAAGAGTATACAGATTCACATGTTTGTGTTGCCACATGGTATAACAGAATGTGAAAGCAATTTTGGTTAACTGGCACACATGTACATAGTGTTGAGTAAAAATAAATCTTTAGCTCACATTACAATGATGAAAAACAAAGGACATGATTCATAAAAGCACATACCAATGCAACTAATATTCCATGAAGCCACATATACTAAGGGAAATCTGCATCTGTAGAATATATTTGTTTTAGTTTTAATGTTAGTACTTTTCCACATCACAAGTCACTGACTAATAAAGGTAATGTTACACATTGACGATCTCTATCAGAATGTATCAGATTTCAAGATACCCCTGGTGAAAACATGAAATATTGTCACACAGTTTATGCAACCTAAGGAGCCTATCAATCCTGTGGTTAAATAAATACTGTAGTAGGTAATGTCCAAATTTATCACATATGAAGTAAATTAAGGTAGTTAGCTGAAACATTATCCCATTAAGCTAGACAAATAAAACAGAAGAAACAAACCTATAGATAAATATTTTTATTACCACAAGATTACAATATTAATATACTTTTTCAAGTATCAATTTTTACCATTTGGTGCTGGACAGTAGCTGCTATAAAATTTCTATGAGGCATAAGTGAAATATTAGTTCTTAATATATTTAAAAACTTCAGTTTCTACTTATTAGGTATAGACACATATTTTTCAAAATAATCTGTCTGTCTGTCTATCTATCTATCTATCTATCTATCTATCTATCTATCTATCTATCTATCATCTATCTATCTATCTATCTATCTATCTATCTATCTATCTATCTATCTATCTATCATCTATCTATCTATCTATCTATTTTTCTACCTACCTACCTACCTACCTGTCTCTATCTTCTATATATATAAAAATGGCTGTGTGTGTGTGTGTGTGTGTGTGTGTGTGTGTGTGTGTGTGTATGTGTGTGTGTGTGTTCCAGCATAACTCTGGAACTCCTTCAGCAATTTCAACCAAACTTGGTACACAGATGACTTACTTTCTGGAAAGAAATACTGTGAGGGGTAAGATACCCCTAATACCCCTTGGGGTGTTTTGGGATGCGTGTTCTGATAAGATACAGCTTACAGCGCAGTGGAGTTGCCATGGTAATGGCTTCACAGTACTCCACAAGGGGGCATTCGTAAGGGAGCCTGCTTGCACTACTATGAGACCAACACAGCTTCACCGGCTTCTGAATAAAAGACGTTGGCTTCTCTGCCATGTGGCTCAGTCTCTTCTGCAGCTCTTCAAAAAGTAAGTACAATAAAGCCATGGGAAATGGGTTAGGGAAGGCGGATCGGGCCCAGGAACTCTCCATTTCAGCCTGTAAGAGACCGGGGGGGAGCCCTAGGGAGGCCCAAAGGGGCCTGGGAAGGCTGGATCGGGCCCAGGAATTCTCCATTTCAGCTTGTGCTGGGAGAGCCCTAGGAAGGCCCAAAGGGATCTGGGATGGCTGGATCAGGCCCAGGAACTCTCCAGCCTGTAAGAGGCCGGGCTCTTGGCATCGCCTCTTCAGGAATTGCGGAGACGTTAATGGAAGGAGGGAGGAGAGCCCATGCTGCACTTAGGTTGCCACTTGACATTGCTATTCCTGTCTAATACAGGATTGGGATAAATAAATACCCAGACAACGCTGGGTTATCAGCTAGTGCCCTATAAGAATCAGGGCAATAAACTTTTAAAAATATTGTGCCTTGCTTTTTAAAAAACATGACAAAGTCATCAAAATGACAACAACCAGTGTATTGGGCTCCTGTAACAAATCTGAATTAATGTATAAATGACTATCACAAGAAAAAAGTTTACACTTCATATGGGGAAAATACACAATTATTTATAGTCAGGCAAATATTTCAGCTTACACGTACACATGTGCTGTATTTTTATCACATATATACATACACACTATTTATATCATACACATAATGCCTTCAAGGCTTCACAGTATACAGATAGTCCTCAACTTATGACCACAAAACTTTCTGTTGCTAAGCGAAACCTTTGTTAGGTGAATTTTGCTCCACTTTATGATTTCTTGCCACAGTTGTTAAGCGAATCACAGCAGTCATTAGGTTAGTAAAAAGATTGTTAAATGATTCTAAATTGATTATTGAAGCAAAGCCTTAACATAATTTCTGGTCTGATCTTTTATCCAATAATATGCATCTAGCTAAGTAGAATATATTGACTCATTTATCAAATAATTTTGATTCAATGACCCAGTATTTCAGGGTGTTAAAAAATAAAAATAGGGATACAGAAAATAACTTGGGGACTTTTTATATTAATTTCTCCGCATCATTAATTTCTCTGTGCATTTCAAGTAATTGTCTAATAATTATGATAAACCCAACAGTTTAATAAAATTAATACATAATTACCTGTATAACGGCACTGAACCAGCATGTGTTACCAACATTTTTTAAGCCCACTGGACAAATATCTTGACGTTTTCTGTCATATGGATTTGGAGAATCACTCCAGACTTCTGGATGTGTTCTTTTCAGACTTGCTTTGTTTTCTGCTATGCTGGCTTCTAAAACTCTTAGAAAACAAATGAAATAATTAGAACAAATAGTCTAACAATTTGGATATATATTTTCACAAATCTTCATCATCCTTATGCCGTTTAATAAAATTTATTAGTCAGAAAGGTATTATCAGACTCCAGATTTTTTCTACATAATCTAAATTATAGATTATCTTAAGCAATAGGTTACTTAATAATTACCCATATTAGACCATTTGAATTATATTAAGCAAGGTTATAGTACATAAATGTATATAAAAAGATCTCAAAATCAAATCTGGTCTTCCAGAATATAATATGTCATTTTGCCTACTGTCCAGCCATTGATAACAGTACTGTACTCTATAAGCTATAGCAAAGCATCGTTGGCGGATCACTTCAGAAAGAGCAGAGCCACACCTAATTCTCAAAACAGCAGTTTTAGAAGGCATGGTCATGCTGCAGCAAAAGCAATTTCAGAACAAGTATTATGGCACAAATACTTGTTATAACCACAATGTGTTCTATTATAACTATTATCACTTATGTATTTTTGAATAACTTACTCAACAAATAAATCAATAAATTTTCCATTGGAAAACAACGTTTTAGATCCTATTTATGCAGAAATATTGAAAATTCAAAGTATTCACAAACTTAAATATTACTATAGTTACAAATTACAGTAGAAAATCATTCAGAATATTAAATTATCCTTTTATAATACCGTATATATTAAATTATCCTTTTATAATACCATATAAACTTTCCCCTAATGATTATTTCTTATTTCACTATACTAATGCATAAAAATTACATAAAGTGTACAACATTTGTTGATTTAAGAACGTATTTTTCTGAAGAACTCTTAAGAATTGTTGTTGAGAAGAAAAAAAAAATTCTTTCTCTGGACCATGTCCTTCTAGGGTAGGGATGTCAAACTCAATTTCATTAAGGGCCACATCAGGGTTGTGACCTCAGAGGGCCGGGGGGGGGGCATGGTGGGCATGACACAGGACTGGGGGGGCTGTGGTGGCCAATTGCTAAGGCAGGACTTCCCTGAGACCCTCCCTCACTCTCATTATATAGTTCTCGAGTTACGAATGTAAATAGACCCTGCCAATTACATTCCTAATCCAAGGATTTGTTTCATTAAATCACGTAAAATGAACATGATCACTCCCCCCCTGCTTTTCTGCACCCCGTTTTGGGTGGCAGAATACTGCAGGAGGCCATCCAGGGCGAAAACGTGCTGTGGGTGGCACACTTCCCCCTTGTGCCCTGTTTTTGTTAGCAAAGACACCGCGGGCCAGTCCTTTGCTATTTACAGGCCAGCCCAACGGGCCCTATCTAAACACCACACAGGCCGGATTCAGCCCACAGGCCTTGAGTTTGATACCCCTGTTCTAGGTGGAAGGTACAGCAATTTCTGGAAGTAAATTTTCCAAACCAGATACAATAAAACATGTAGATACATGGTTCTAGGTGAAACAGGATTATTTTGAGTAAGAATGAACGCTGGCTACGTAATACCACCCACTGTTTAGAAGATTTATTTCTGGAAACTGCCAAATCAATCCCAGAATTGGATAGTTCAGAGGAACTAAGTCATATTCTGGATGGAAAAGGAATATTTTAGATTTCAGCAGGACGATTCATTCCAAGATTGGGATAGTTTGCATATTCCTAAGGAAGAATAAGTGCAATTCTGCCATATGGCCTGGTGTAATTTTTAATTTTTTTAAAAAATAAACTATAGAAACATGGAGGAATATCTTGGCATATGTTCTTCACATTACAGAAGAAACCTCCTACATCTACAAAATAAACTCTCCAAACTTTTTCCCTTTCATTTCTCTTGAACATTATTGTACTGTTGTGAGCCATAATATGGATTGTTTAAATTTGACTTTGGGAAAACTTAAGGCCCTGAACTATGATATGTAAACCATGGTTAACAGATTTGTCTGATATGAATCTAAACATTTTGCTTCGTTGACAAGCAGGCTTAGTGTAGTATGTGATGTCAGACAATAAACTGTTTCAGAAAACATAAATCTATAAACCACAAATTAAGGTAAGTATACAAGGATTTTGAAAGACAAATCAGTAACAAGGTAGAATAACCAGTGGCTTTAATGCCAATACAGTTGAGTTTACTTCAACTTTACTCCAAAAAATATTAAAGAATAACATAAGCATTTTAGAATTTTCAGAACTTAGAACAGAATGAAATAAAACAAATTAAAATTAAAAAGACCAAAAATCAGATAAATATAATTTATACCTGTGTAGAAAAAAATAAAGATGTATTTAAAAAAAAAGAAAGAAAGAAATGCCCTTCTCTTTATGTACATTATTTACCTACCTACTAATGGCCTGTTCCTCATCTGTTATCCCAGTCTCCCTGAATGTCCTGTTTGATTCCTCTAAACTGAGGGCAATAGCTCTCTGTAGATCATCTTTGTCATCCCCTGTGAGATCAATTACATCTGGAAAGCAAACCTATGTTCCTCAATATTAAAAACGCATAGAACGAAAAATCAAATATATTAGCAATGATCAACATCTAGTTTAAATTTGTCTCCACATTTTACTTATTTTCAGCACTATAGTATCATTCAGTTGTGTAACCTGAGTTATTAATTATATTTGAACAATCAACTAAAATTTCATTAGCTATTATACTTTCTATCACTTTACCTCTTTACTGGTATACATTTGCTGATTCATGAAAACTCTCATCTGCATTAAGCCTTAGATCTTTTTCACTTTGAAACTGAAATAGTGTAACTTTGAATCAATAAACATCAATAAATAATTCTAGCTAGGATGTCCATAGTAAAGCAATGTGAAATAGAAGGAAAACTACAAGAAAAAAAAGGAGATTGCATAAACAACTATGAACAGGACATTTCAGCCCACCAGGTCATCAAATAAATTTTCATCAAGCAGTTTCATTATGGGTATTGTACTGGTCTAATATGTTTAACCCATTTATCAGGAATAATTTTAAAGTTCTAAACAGCATCATGCCAGCCAAAGAATTTGGATGCTGTCAAAAATCTGGGAAACTGTGAGATCTGGATCTCAAATAAAAACAGAAATAGAGACAAAGCTTTTACAGATAGATCAGATTGACAGATGATAATCAGCTTTAGAGCAATTGCCATCACAAAGTTATGTTTGTCTAATGTAAGAATTTCTTGCAATTTTTTTTAAAAAAATCATTAAATAAAACAGACAATATCAAATATAAGATATAAAAAGTTCATTAATATTCAGTAGAAACAGGTTTTTCTAGTTGTTTCAGTTGTGTAGTTATATGGTGAGAAAAAAGCACTTACTTGTATCTGCTTGGCTTCCTACACTTATATATCTGTCATTAGCAGGAAGTGCTGTTTGATAGTATGTTGTTTCTTCTTGCTGAGGAATCTTGGCATTCTTTGCCGTTAGGAGGGCTACTGCTAATTCTAGGTTTCCATTGCTATCCTTTAAATGCATAAGAATGAATTATCAGAATGCCATTTTATGATCAGCTTCTAACATCAAGTCCAGGTACATTTAAATTTTACATATTGCCATGAATTATTATTAGAAACCTAATCAATTTAAAAATAACATACTAATTAATGTGAAAGATAAGCAAATTTATATTTGAATGCAATGAAAGCTGAAATTTAATCAAAATCCACCGATTTAATATATTCGTATTCTGCAGTGGCAAATGAAATTGTTGAATGGCTGAATTAGATGCTGCCCATTGTATACGTTTCCTAAATAAAACATTTGCAAGGAGGTTTGAAATCAGTTTTATAACTTTATTGTTCAACATGAATTTGAATAAATGATCAGTTAAGCATGTAGAAAAATCATAACTACAAACACTAATATATCTATATTTAAACCCAAATGTATACAGTTTAAGGGTAAGCTGCTTAATTAGGAATGGGGAAATCATGTTTCAAGTCCATGGTCAGCTCTGGATGTTCAATAACGATTCTGGACCACTCACAATTTCCCCAGTTCGCCTACAATTTCAGCCTATTTGCAGGCCATTCAAATCAACCGTACAGTCTTGTATTGAATTGTATTTTTAATTTAGAGATCTAAACGTAGTTATCTTTCAAAATCACTGTACCTTCAAGGCTTGCTGTAGTACTTGAGTGTCATTGATACCAGTGATTTCTCTCAGCTGATTCAGAAACGTCTGCTGGTGCTGAAGAATTAAAGAGCTGATCAGCATAGAACACAAATTAAAGTAAACAAGCTAGTCAGTGGAAAAGCTAGGGTTTTTTCCCCCCCTCTTTAAAGAAATGTGTCTAACAGTATCAATGTGTACAATTTCAAAATGGAACATAGGGAAATTAAGTCTGGAGTAGCTGCTACAAATTCCATTATCTGCAGACAACATATCCATGGTAAAGTATAACACAACAAACTACTATGATTGTTGCAATAGATATACAAACTTCCACACCATATGTAGTAGCTATATCTACTTTTTAAATAAAAAAAAATGGAGGTTTTAAAATTGATTTTCCAAATTTCTAAATCATCAGCAAATTAAAAATAAACTGAAGTGGCCAAGGAGCCATACAATATCACAAAACAACTTGAGAAAAAGATTGGTTCCAAGAAATCTTTAGTTTTTCTTTGGTTTAAAATTTATAAGCCTTTTTTTTTTTTTTCAAAATTCAACTTTTGTTAGGGTAGCATACACCCAGAAGTGGGATTCAGCCAGTTTGGACCAGTTCAAGTGAACCGATAGTTAAATTTTTGTGGTTTGGAGAACCGGCTACTTGCACCACTGGCTGACCCCGCCCCCCTAGTCACTCCTTATCTCGCCTCTCCTGCCTTGGCCACGATGTACTAGCTGGCGTTCTCTGGCTCCCTTGCTCGCTAGCCTCGAAGATGTGGCCCCCGTGACCCAGCCCACTTGCCTGCCTTTGCTCCAGCCTCCGATGCGACCCAGCCTGTTAGACTGATTCTCCATTGCCTCCGACGTGGCCCAGCTACCTGCCTGTCTGGTGAGCCTTCCTTTGCCTCTTTGCCAGCATGAACGGCCTGTTACAGGGACTCCCTAGGACTCCATAGGCTGAAATGGAGGGTCCCTGAGCTCAATCCAGCCATCCCTGAGCTCAATCCAGCCATCCCAGGCCCCCTTCAGGCCTTCCTAGGGCTCCCCCAGCCTGTTAGACTGAAATGCAGGTCCCTGAGCACGATTCAGCTGTCCCAGGCTCTCTTTGGACCTTCCTAGGGCTCCCCTGGCCTCTTACAGGCTTAAATGGAGAGTTCCAGGGCCTGATCCGCCCTCCCCACTCCATTTCCCATAGCTTTACTGTACTTACTTTTCGAAGAGCTGCAGAAAAAGCTGAGCCACATGGCAGAGAAGCCGATGTTTTTTATTCAGAAGCTGGTGAAGCTGTAATAACATGAGATACAAGGAAAATAGCTTTCCCCATCTGAATAAAAGTCTTCAGCTTCTCTGCCATGAGGACCTGCAGGCTCAGTTTTTACCCAGTCTGGTCAGGCTTAGTTTGGACCCAGTCTGCTTGCTGCTGACTGGCTAGTTCGAATGAGCAGCTTCAGGGATTTGGACGTGGCAGCCAATCAACAAGGACCTTGCAGTTCAGCCTGATGAGACAAAGTAAGCAACCTCCCCTTTCATTGGCGGCTGCTACTGCCTCAGTCCCTGAAGCAGGAGGCTGCTGTGGCCCAATCCAGGTCTAGGCTTGCTGGCCACATGGCCCCAGCTGAAGTTTTTTACTCAGAAGCTGGTGAAAATATTTTCCTTAGATTTCATGATCTTACATCTTCACCATCATCTGAATAAAACACTTTGGCTTCTCTGCCAGTGGGTCAGCCTCTTCTGGACATGTGGAGATCTTCAAAAGGTAAGATCTTCAAAAAGTAAGTAATAAAGTAAATGGCATGATTAATTTTTCTATTATTTTCAGTGGGAAGTAAAGGTAATTAAGTTAGCATGGATGTAACCTATTATGGTTATGTTTAAAAATATTTTTGTATGTTAAAAATGTCCCTGATTTGCAACTAAATCATTTATGTCCATCCTTTGATTTTTGCAGCAAATTGTACATTTTTGTTTTAATAAAAGCAAAGTGAATATTAATTGAGAATCCATCTATTTCTTCAGAGTAGTTCCTCTCTCACCATCCTCTAAAGCTCTACTCCTGATTTTTCTAAATAATTTGTCTATTTAGAACAACATAAAGGAAGCAGGAAAAAAGGCAACAGAATTCCTAAGGGAGCAAAAACAGCTATATAATGATGGTCTCTAAAGTGGTCCTACTGCCACAGTAAAAAGCAGTAAAAAAATGACTTTAAAATACAGCTATTACTGTTTCCAAAATATATACCGGTACTTGCCTAAAATTTTAGAAGGTACCTATATTGACAGATTTCATTAGCAGAAGAACAGCTTCTAATATAGGGGGGAATAATCACAAATCCAACAAGTTTTTATATTTGCTAACTTTGTAACTGTGTGCTGCCTGTGTAATATGAAACATCAAACAAACTTTCCCACATAGGTTGCCAAAAGAGAATCAGTGGATTTTAACATTATTCATTCATTCTTAACTGCATGAACCAAGTTCAGAACAAAGACAGAAACACAACACTGTCTCCATGGTCATAATCATAAGTGTCCCCTACTTAACAGCTATGTTTGAATACCACGATGAAAATCCAGAGAGGGAAAGATGTATTGCCTTCATACACCCACTTTTACTTTCCCATATACATGTGTAAGAAACTGGGTACCAAAGAAAATCCATGTGAGGGCAACAAAGAACGCTGACCTTGGACTAATCAGTGTGAGTCCAAGCTTTTTGGAGCTTGGGAGCTTTTTGGACAATTCATGAGTATAGGATGAATTACAAAAACTGGGAGCGCCAAAACATTCAATTTAAACATTTATAATATGTATATAAACTACCCTCTATTGAGAGATTTTCTGCTATGTTACAACCCATAAAAGCAAAAAACAAAGCAAAAAAACAAAGCAAAAAAGTAAAATCACTACCAAATTTATTGAAAAATTAATAAACAGCAACAATTACAAAGAAGCACTAGAGACGACAGATCACTTGGAAAATGGTGGAATAGAGACTCTAGAGATAAATTATTGGAAAGTTAACTGCCAATCCATTCCAGGCCAATCTCAAGTCATGAACCAGGTGTCCAAATGTCTGAGATCCTAATGAGTGTGTGTGTGTGTGTGTGTTTATATATATAAAAAACTAATCGTTATACAATTATAGTTATATATATAAAATGATACACACAATCATTTTATATATACATACATATACATATACATACACATACACACATACATACATACATACATATATTCTCACAATTAGTGGATAAATTAGGAAAAAAATATTATTTCAATAGATGATTACTGCTGTGAGATTTCTACCGGCAGAGATGGAAAGATTCAACATTTCCCACCACAGAGGAATGGTTAGCAAGGTTGACAGATTTTGCTGAAATTGATAATCAATTTCTTTTATTATAGAAAAGACATTATATTTGTTGGTGATTGGAAGCATCTTATTAACTTTTTGCATAAAAAAACAAAAATTTGAACTTGTGATTTATGGTTTTGGTGATTACACAGGTTGTATTATTGAAAGAACAATCTAACTTTGCAAGAGAGACATTTTAAATACATTTATACTTATAACTTCTGCCTGAGGTCAATCAGAAATCAGAAGTGACATGATTGCAATACATGCCACGATTTCAATACAATTGCACTGATTTTATTTTGAAGGCAACTGTGTTTTTTAAATATATGTGTTTGCATGCTTGCCAACTCAATTTCATACCCAATTGGTTTAGCCCTCCACAACAGTCCCAGTTTCTCATGTGATTCCTTGAGAAATTGTTCATCCTATCTTACAGTATTTCTGTTGAAAAATCCTTGTTTTTTGTATATGTAGTCCTCAATTTATCACCATCTGTTTAATACGGATTCAAAGTTATAATGGCCTCAGAAAAAATGATCTATGACCCACTCTCAAAGTTATGACTGTCACATCAAATAATTACAATTTGGGCACTTGGCAACAGGCTTGCATATATGAAGGTTGAAGGGTCTTCTGGTTATATGATTGTGATTTGCAACGCCTCAGCTGGCTTCCAACTCACAAAGTCAATTGGGAAAGCCAAATTCACTTAACCACCACATGACTGATTTAATGACCTGGTGATTCACTTCATGACTGTGCTAAAAATGGTTTCAAATCCAAGTCCAGTTACGTGGTAATTTCTTAACTATTGCTTTGCTTAGTGACCACAATTCTGATCCCACTGTGATTGTAAGTCAAGGACTACTTGTATGAAATTTGTATCTAGAAATGACTGTATCCCATCGATTCTTTTCATTTCACTAGAGTTTTGACAAACCTTATCTATATTCTCATTTGCACCCAAATTTACTCATTTAGGCTGTCCCATCTTAGCTTGGAGACATCAGGAGCTGGCATTAAAAATTGTGTACCTTCTTACTTCGTAACTCTTGTTGAAATATTTTGCCTTCTGTTATAAGCACCTGTTAATCTACTTTCAACAATGGCCCTAACCCTAATAGTATTTTCTAAACCACAGACATATTTCTGAAATGGATACTGTCCATACCTGGCAGATTTCCCAGCAAGATCTCTTTAAAAGTGTTTTGATTCTTATGCCATTGTTGCCTAGTTCCATTTTGAGTTAAGTGGAACCCATCTGATATGTTTAAAATTGGCATTACCAAAAGTGCCCCAGGGCCTAACAAATCTAAAATCACTTTATCTTGCACTACTGCTCTATAAGAGCACTAAGATCCCTGGAAACTTTACATAAAATTGCTATCTGATGGTTCTCTGTGGGAACAGAAGACTAAATCTTTTGATATTACCAAATGTAGCTCTTCAAGATAATAGCTTTATTTATATCACTTTAAGTCAGAAATCCCGATATTAAAATATAAATTATATGCTGGTATATGATGCCAACATGAAGAAGTTAAGAAAATAAAGAATGGGGGGGGGGGGGAATTATCAAATATTTGAATATATATTTTTCTTCCTTTTTTCTTTTGAAATGTTTTAAAAAGAGAACAAAATATTTCTCATGCACAAGAAATTATTCACAGCTTTGCAAATTTAATGTTTTTACTTTTTTTTTTTTTTTACAAACTCAAAGACTTCTTTATTCTGTTAAAGCATAAACAAAATTATCTGCTGTTTCCCAGCAATAGTAACAATCATAGAGTAACAGAAAGTATAAACTTTTGGAAGGTTATGCTAATGAAAAGTACAGTAGAACAAAAAATAACAATAAACCTCTAAAAAGGGTCACTGTGGATACATATAGTGAGAAGATGACGGTGGTCTTTTTTTCCTCAGTGAGCACTATCACAACAACTTCACATCAAGAAATGTGAAAGTCAACTGAAAATATACAAACTGACATATTGCCTTCTTAAAAAAGTAGTCTAAAACTGTATACTTTTAAAAAGAGGATAACAATTTTCTATGCATTGGCTGAGGCAGAATAGATCCACAAGAATTTGTCATAAAGGAAATCTAATGCTACAACAGCAAAGAGAAATAAGACATACTCTCTGGACAAAAATAAAAAGCTTCTAGTTTAATTTTAATCAAGCCATTCTTTTATTTTTAAGAATGAGTTCAAAAGTCAAAATCAGTTGATTCTAAGACAATGAAAGAAAGATGTCTGTTTCTTGATTATATTGGGAAAATTTCAACATTAAAACAAGTTGGGTACAACAACAAAATATTGAAAGAATAATTCCATTCTGGCAAACAAAATATTCTTGTAATAGTGCTAGTACAAGTTGACAGAAGAAGAAAAACAGACTTCTGAATTAATTAGAAGTTTACTATGTACTGGAGAAACCTCAAATCTGGTGAAATTGCTAGTGAATGCCATCATTTTTACAACCATTCTCCCCAATAGGGTTGGAAAAGAGCCCAAACCCAAGCTGTGGTGAAAGGTCTAACCCCCCACCCTGGTGCTCTACTTAACAACTACAACTAGACAAAACTCCTTTTCCTTTGCCTTACTCACTGTTTCTATGATTCCATAGCCACACTGTGTTGAGCAAACAAGTTGCAAGATCATTAGGACACTGCTTAATGAAATCACCAGAGGCAGCAAGGACATTGGGCATTACAAATCTCCATTTAGATGAGGAAGCAGCAATCATCAGTTGTTTCAACTTTAAATGGTTGATGTTAAGGACTTTCTGAAGGACATGTTGTGTTGCTCATCCTATGAATACATAATTGTACTAGTTTTCCAATCAGCCTCTCTTCTACACTCAGTGATCCATCATGTTATGCACAGATAGTGGAATAATTTCTGAATGAGCCTGAGCAATGCCACTGTAAGCAAATCCCAGTTACCAGAAATCAGATGAGATGCCCAGGTTTGCTGTTGGTGCAACATTCATTATGGTAGATAGTTGATGCTTCTAAATTACCAACCACTGATATCACTAATGCATCCCCTCTTACAACTGGAGCACCTGCTGAGATTAAATGGACTTCTGGAAGACTCAGAAGACAACAAAGCTAAGACACTGAAATGACAAAAACGATGGCATGTATCTCCAGGGTTTAGAGCCAAGCCTGAGGCATTTGCTACTTCTGCCATGAACTTATTTGTTCTTGCCTTTTCTCAAAGTTCCTTCCATACACTCTAGCACAACACACATGCAGAACTTTGTGCATATGTCTTCAGCATTATGGTTAGCAATGCTATATATAAGGAAGTAGCAGCAAGCCTGAATGAGAATAGTGGAAGCTCTTGATCTTTATACCATGGAGATGGAAATATAAGTGTTGCAAAAGATTACTTCTGAAAATGCTAGCCATGTCCACTTTGTACATCAGGTGTGGGATGTAGAATAGTTCAAGTTGCCATATCGAGCATTGAGCACTTGCAGAGTTTGGTGATAGTGCAGTGGTTCTGGATCTATTTCTAGTGTCAAGTTGCTATATAGAATATAGCTGTGCAACTGCTCAAGACTAATTTCAGTAATGCTTACGTTATACTAAAGAATTGTGACAGGAGAAGTAAATATAAAAGAAATGTACTGTTAGTAGCATAATTTACAGCATAGGAACCTAGTTTACAAAGCAAGCAAGATCACGAACTTCCCTATATTTTTCACATTATTTCAAAAAATAGTATCCATTTTATTGATCACCATAACATACAATGGCTCAACCAAGTTCCAATTTATAGAGATTCATACCATTCCATATCATTACCAAATGATCATATATGATTATAAGAATCTGTCCTTATAGCAATAGCATTTAGACTTACATACTGTTTCTTAGTGCTTTACAGTCCTTTCTAAGTGGTTTACAGAGTCAGCATACTGCCCCCAAACAATCTGGGTTATTTACCCACCTTGGAACTATAGAAGGTTGAACCAACCTTGAGCTGGTTAGAATCAAACTGCTGGCAGTTGGGAGAATTAGCCTGCAATACTGCATTCTAACCACTGTGCCACCACTGTTCAAAAATACAAATCCTGATAGCCTTCTAACCATACATATAGTACAATGTATTATTTCCTTTTATATTAAGAACACTAAATCACAGAATTACCAGATTTTAATAAGGTTAGATTCAAATCTATGTTCGACTGCAGTTAGTTTGGGAGAGCTGTTCTTTTTCAATGTGATCTACTTCACAAGGATTTTATAAGAAAGTATAAGTAGTAACCAAACCATATAAGCTGCCCTATATCTCTGAAGAATAACATTCAAAGGTAGACCTTTACCTTTATTTACACCCACAAACTCTTGTCAACCACAAAGACTTATTCTTGAACATGGACTGTTGTATTTGAGAAAATTTTGTTTCCAATACCTTTTATAAACACACTAACGGTGCCTTCACCAAAATGCAACTGGTATTTTTTTCTTCCATTCAATCATGTCATATTCTTGAAGATTGTTTGGACAACTTCCTGCAGGTTGTTTTTTTTTTGGGGGGGGGGGGGGGCAGTTTCTCAGAAGTGGTTTGCCATTGCCTCCTTCCTAGGGCTGAGAACAATGATTGGCTCAAGGTCATCCAACCAGTTTCATGCCCAAGACAGAACTAGAACTGTGTCCTGCTTTCTAGCTTGGTGCTTTAACCATTACATCAAACTCTCTCTTCCCTTTATTAGTCAGGACATTTTTTTTTACTAATTAACAAGCCTCATCTTAAACTATGCACTTTTAACAAATGCCTGATTAGAATCCTAAGTCTAACTCATTTTCATCTAACTGTTTGATCCTCCAGTTAAGAAATAAACAGGAAAAGTGTCATTGTTTTAATACAATCTTCTCTCAACATAACACATTACTGCTCCCTTTCAGAGCCCAAACTTTAAATACCTCTGTCCGTCGTTGTTTACCAGGCAATGTAAATGTAAAGTATTACAGAACTGCAGGAGGGATGTCTCAAGATACAAGAACTAGTGGCGAATGTGGATGCTTCTCAATTCTTCTGTTTAGAAAGTGTCACTTTGGAGACAGGAGATAATACAGCGAGCAAAAAGGTGAATTAGTCAATCCACTAGCAGACCCCTTTAGATGCTTCTGATAAGGTAAGGTGGGAGTGGGGAAACGGAACAAATGAGGGACAAGAACACACCCAAAGAGTAAGGAAAGAAGAAAAAAGTAACCACTATTGAAGGGAACCCTGCCCAAAGCCACAACTACCTTCCTTCGCTAAGCAGGTCGGTAAGAACCACCCCATTCCACAACTTCCCCTCCATACGCAAAGGTCACGGAGGAAGCAGGGAGAAAAAGGAGGGTGCGCAGATCCGCCTCGGTGGAGGCTCCAGAGCGCGAGGCCCTCGCGCAACTAAAGGGCCCGTTGCCGCGGTGGCGGCCTGAGCGAAGTGGAGGGTCTCTGTGCGAGGGTCGCTTTCCTCCTTCCCGGCCGGCTCTTCCCTTACCTTCTGGGTGTTGCTCTGCTGCAGCACATTCTGCTCCACGGTCATGGCCTTTTCCCAGCTTCGGCTTCCCTCCCTGCCGGCCTAAGGGAGTGACGAAGAAGAAGAAGAAGGGGCGCTGGCGAGAGAAGGCTGAGAGAACCGGAGTGAGCGCCAGGCCTGAGCGGACCCAGGAGGAAAAGGAGGAGGGATAGGAGGCCGCCGCTGAGTCAACGCAGCCGTGACGTGACGCGCCGCCCAAACAAGCAGCAACAACCCTGGGGAAGAGCAGCGCGCTTTCGGGCCGGCCCTACGCCTGCTGAGCGGAAGGCGCGCCCACGGCGTCGCGGCCTCAACCAAACCTGGCCGGCCCTGCAATGGGAGTTTCGGCTCCTCCCATCTCGCCGTCGTTTCTCTTCATTACGTCTTAGAGCGCGTTCCCGCACACAGCTTTACTTGGATAATGAATAATTAAAACTTTATGTAAAAGGTAGCACTGCGTGAATAGATAGCGTAAGAGGTGACGAGCAGTTTCCTTTTAAACAGATATATCAGGAAATTTTATTCGTTTGATAAATAACATCCCTCTGAGCTTAGTTTGTACGACGTTACCCTATTTCCCCCCTTTTTTCTGATATTAAATACAGTGGTGATTTCCTTCCCCCCCGCGCTTCTTTTTACTCGGGCCGACTTTCGGTTCTTTCCTCTTCAAGTTCTTTTATTGTAAGGGCGTGCCCATATTTTTTTTAAATAAGGAAATCATAGTTAACCCTTTAGCCGAATTTCCAGAGAACAACAAACTTTCTTTTCATCACAAAAACGTCGGAGAGGATCAATGTGCTTCAGACACTCAAGAGGGCTGGGTTGCTTTGTGTTAACAAAAATTTGGCAGAGAAAGAGGCTGATGAGTGACTACGGAGATGATGCTGTTCCTCCAAAAGAGTTGTTTTGCTTTCTATTCTCCATTAAACCGTCCGGTTCCAAGCAAATAACAACCAGCCATTGAGCAATCAGAAGATGCAGCCATAATTTGCTTAATCCTTGATGTTAAAAAACAACTATATTATATTATATTAACAACTATAATTGGGGGTGTGCATAAACGCACCAAAGTGCCTACCGTCCCTGTCCTATTGTTTCTTTTTATTTTTCTTATATGTATCCATTTCATGTTTTCATAACTGTTATATTTATACCTGTTATAATGCTTGACAAAATAAATAAAATAAATAAATAAAAACAACTCAACTTCATACTTCGGATGAACTGAACTAATGCACTTGCCTGGTTTTGCTTTACTAATTAATTCATGGAGTTCCTAAATCGGCTGGCTTGATGTGTCACACTGAGCCACAAACTTGCCAACTTCAGTATTCTGCAAACTCATGTATAAAGTGTTGTTTCCATAAAAGGCACTGACTGGAGGATGGAACCCAATCTATTACAGTGCTGCACCTCCCAAATCTAAGCATAAAGATCAGTGGTCGGATTCAATTTTTTTTACTACCGGTTCTGTGGGAGTGGTTGGTGGGCGTGGCAGGGGAAAGATACTGTAAAATCTCCAGTCAGAGGTATTTGCCGGTTCTCTGAACTACTCTAAATTTCCGCTACCGGTTCTCCAGAACTGGTCAGAACCTGCTGAATACCACCTCTGATAAGGACCCAAATCACTATCATTTTATCATCCTAAAGTAAAGCATACCTAGGTGAAGAGTAAAAGTCCTGCTTGGCATGACTGGCCAGTAATGCTACACTACCAAGAACAATTTTAAAAGGGCCACTAAAAGTTCTGTTGTACTCCTGAATGTGTAGGAAATGGATAAAGGTTTACAAAACAGGTACACTTACTAGGCTATCCTTTTCTAGTTAGCACCCCTAGGTAAGAAAAGAAAGTACAGTAGTAAGTAGCAATAGTACTTTGTTTTTAACCATTTTCAGTGGACTATTGTGAGCTACCTAAAGTCATCATATGAGATAGATGGACATAGAAGTCCTTTAATTAATTAAATGAATGAAATTGGAGGGGGCAAGCAACATCTACATGCCATAATATCATAAGATTGGCCCGTGGACATTGAGGTCTGTTGCCCCTTGGGTTTTCATATATAGGTAGTTTTTTGCTAACAACCAGTTATTCAACAACTGTTCAAAGTTACAATGGCACTGAACAAGTGATATTTACAACTAGTACTTGAAATTCCAGCCATTGGAGCATCCTGTGGTCACTTGATTGCCATTTACACCTTCCCTGACAGGTTCCCACATGGAAAGTCGAGGGGAAAGCCAGCAGGGAAGGTCTTCCCCACTCTGCAGCCCCAATCCCACTGCACTGGCACCATGACTTACTGGTCTCTCATGCACCCTTCTATATCCTTCAGCAGACATCCCAAGTCCTGCCATAATCATGTTGTGCTAGCCCTTTATGCACATGCAACAGCCACTCCCAGCCCCTTCATACTATGTCTCATTGGCCACTCACACACCCTCTTACTTGCACCTGGCAGCAACTACTTACCTGCCTAACAGTTTGCTTACAAACCACCTGGGTCTTGCTGGCTTCCCCACTGACTTGTGGAAGCTGAAAGAAATCATGAAGTCCTCATTTAACAAGGGCAACAAGGAATGTGAAGATTGTTGTTGCTAAGCAGTGCACTTAGTGATGTTGCAGTTTACAACCACATCGCTTAGCAATGGAAATTCTGGTCCTAAATACTGTTGTTAACCAAGGACTTCCATTAATACTTTTAAAAAAACAAGAAGGAAGAATTAGACTAGGTTTCCAGCCTTAACTATACCTTAAAAGTATCACCATTCCCTTTTAACAGTAAAGACTATTTCTTTTGGCTAGTGTGCTACAAGTGCAACCAAAGCCCAATTTTACTCCAAGCCTGCTCACACTATTTTCTGCTATCTAGGATCTCTAAACAAGAGATTAGATTGCAAACTAATATATTTTTGTCAATGCCCCACCAATTAGAAGACATGTGAAGTGTACTGGCACACTTAAGATACCAAGATCCAAAATCAGTCACTTACCATGAGAGAAATTATTTTAATAAGTGCTTTGAGTTTATTGTTTGTGAGTTTTCCTTCTGGTTTCCATGCAGTAGTTGCAGGACCATTCTCAGAAGCTTTAAGCACATTTACTTTTTATTTTAGGATTTATGAAAATTGCATCTATGTGAGCATATAATATCTGCACACATCTTAAAAATGCAAAATGCCAGTAGAAATGTACAAAAGAAAAAGAATAATTGTGTAATTCTGTCACCTGGGATCTGATATTGATTCAATTCTTTTCACAAGCATGTGAGGTAGCTTTGTTTTCTGAGTCTTCAGCTATCACTATTATTTGTAACAAGAACATGAACAAATAGCTATAATGTTAGTGTTTTGACAGCAGCGTTTGAAATTTGTGAAACATGCCAAGTTTCAAGGGGCGGGGGAATACAAAGGAAGCTTCTATATACTGACCTTTCTTTCCTACCACAAGTATTGCTGGTTTGTATATAATGCTGCTTATTTCTCAAGGTCTTTAGATTAACCTCTTTTCTCCACCACCATGTCAGTGTCCTTACGATTGAGTCAAGAGGATAATACAGCAACATAAACTGCACTGTCCCCATAGCGGTTCCCATCTTACTATAATTCAGCTATGAAGCTAAACAGAGGTGCTAGCCCCACCCAATCCAATATAGAGCAGTTTCAAGGCAGTGATTGGTAAACTTCTTTCCACCATTCTCCTTCCATTCAATTTCATTTATTTGTGTACCAGCCGCTAAGAATTCTCCTGTTGAAATTGGGGAGTCAAGCTGCAATTAAACTGCTTATTGGTTTAGCTGAATTTCTTATTGTTTACCGTGTGCTTTCTGGTGACTAAATTCTGAATTCTGATTACAATGTGCAGTAATCCAAGTGATCAAAGATGGCAGCATCTGTGAAAGCTTTCATAGAAGTGTTAGTCTCTTGGGGTAGACTCCCCCACCTCACAAATAAAGAGAAATAGGATGAGTAGGTGAAGTGAGTGGTTTTCTCAAGAGTTCAACAAAAGCCAAATATCTATGGAACCAATGCCCAGCACAAGATGGAAGGGAACAGATCAACAGCAAACCTGCTGGGCTAATTTTAGTTGAGCAGATCTGAGATCCTCTCACCTCAGGGCATTTCATTCATGCACATAGTATTTTTTGCTTGTGAATTTTATAGTAAGAAGGAAAATATCAATTTTAAACTGAAAAACCATAGCCAACTTCAGATTGTCAATTTTGAGAAGACAAGTCCTCTGCAGAGAGTTATTATTGTTTGATGGTGCCATGGTAAGCAAACCATTTGTACAGCATTAAAAATGTCATCTGTCAGCTCCTAAGTTTTGTATTTTTTTTTCTTTTTGGGAGATATAATTCCATGTTTTCTTTATTAGTTAGTAAAGTCTTAATTTTATTGTGATTTTTAGCTATGTGCTCATGTCTGGCATGATGATACTTAGTGATGATTTTTAGAGAAAATATCCTCATACTATTACTTCCATTTTTTTGCTGGCCAACCAGCGAGGCAGTTCTAGGTCATGTTTACCTGATCTGATGTGGAAGTGTTGTTTTCCCTTTTATCTTGCACAAGATTGCCTTTGTACACGATGTAGGAATATGGAGAACATTCTTTATGATGAGCAACAAATCATTCATGTCCAGATCAATTGGCGAGTCAGCTATGGCAAAATGTCCTCCTGTCTGGTTGCCAGGCAATGTTCTTGTTCTGCAATGTTGTTATTGGCTGTGAGACAGACTAATACCCCAGTTTCTATAGTTGCTTTATTATCTGGGGTTTGAAAGGAATATCAATTTACTGGGCTATTGAATAATTGCTGTTGAAGATGATATATCTGAGAGCATAGAAATTAACATGTCTTTCACACAGACCAAAACTCCTTTCTTAAACAATTGCTGTTCAATAACAATTTCTAGTGGCTGTATCTAAGCAGCACAGATATGGTTGTCCACTAGAATTAAATTCTTAAAACTTTGCTTTTGTGTAGTGGTCAATATATTAATAATTTTGGGAGAAGGAGGAAGAAGGGGAGAAAGATTGGAGTAGGATGTGATGAATGCTGGACTTCATGAAGCATAGCAACACTATTCAAGGTTCTGTATGGGTGAGTAATAATGACAGCTTTTACAATGATTGGTAATTTTTTCCTTTAATTTTCTTTGTGTGTCTTATGCATCACCACTTTGTGGGTTTCAGAGCCCCAAACTAATATAAAAATATTAATAACAGCAATTAGGAATATGGAAAATATTCAAAATAAAAGCTTGGCAATATATATTTTCACACTCAAGCTATTAATTAGAACAACATGTTGCAGATGATGGCACCTAGCTTAAAAGATAAGCAGTGTTAGGCTTGCTTGATATATGGATAGAAAAGTGCTGGGACACCAGAGGTATTGCAGCACTGGAGAGTAAATTTTATATATTCATGCAACATCTCCAAAAAGGAGAGGAGGCTATACAACAGCACCACAATGCAGTTGTCATTTTCAACA